GAACAAAGTACTCCTTTCACATATGACTAATCCAGGGAAAACAGGAGAAACTAGAATTTGCTTTGAAAACTGTGGTACCAACTATTTGAACTAGGATGCTATTCCCAAGGTAAGGGATATATACTTGAGTGGCTTCTTTTGGTTAGTTAAGATTCATTCACTTATTCATCAGATACATAGCAAGCACCTGCCATGAGCCAAGCACTATTCTAGATTTTGAGAAACACTGGTAAACAAAACCAGACTAAGACCCCGCTTTTTTGGGACTTAAGATGTTTTGAGATACTGGATATGTTCTAGTACAAGCGTCTTATGAAAACTTAAGATTTTGTGAAGCAGACATGGCCAAAAGCTGAAGATAACTTAAATGTTATATAAAAATATGCACAATTTCATAGAAATGGCATTTAAAGCACTTATAGCAAGGCTAAAGATAATAATGGTTTTTAGAACCTTCTAAGATGAATTTATATAGCTCTTACGAAAAATTTTTTTAATGTTTATTTTTTTTGAGAAAGAGAGAGAGAGACCGAGTGCAAGTGGGGTAAGGGCAGAGACAGAGAGAGAGGGAGACACAGAATCCCAAGCAGGCTCCAAACTCCGAGCTGTCAGCACACAGCCTGACACGGGGCTCAAACTCACGAACTGTGAGATCATGACCTGAGCCGAAGTTGGACATTTAGCCGGCTGAGCCACCCAGGTGCCCCTATATAGCTCTTAAAAGATACAATCGATCACACTGAAGCTTCCAAATTTTGGTGAACTAGCCTCAGGTTATGTGTATGCTATACTGAGAAATTAAACATCTTACAAGATTGACCAACTGGAAAAAAAAGAACATACTTAAGCAGTTTTAGACTTACTAAATTTATATCGGGCATACAAATGTAAAAGTACCTAAATGGTACCTTTGACAAGAAGCTGTCAAATTTGTATTATCAAACTATGCACATTCTATATTTTTTAATGCCATCACACCACTTGAACACCCTAGTGTTGGTGTGTCTGCAGCCTTTCCCTGTTTTGTATACATGAAGCAATCTTTCGTTACCACAACTGCTTGTCGGACTCAATTCCAGTAGACTCTTTAAAAGACATGTGGAGAGGCAGCTGGGGGAAGGCGTAGAGGCCTGGAATCAGGTTCAGGCTCCAGAATAGAAATAAAATGCCCAATCTTTGCCCCTTTGTAAAAACGGACTTAATTTTCTCATCCTTCCCATCCCAAAACACACATACCTTCCCTAATCTTCTAGTAAATCACATCCTTTATATAACTACAAAATACCCCTTCTCCTAACCTAACACATTTTTTAAGTACCACCTAACACATTCATGGGCTGCTTCCCTGTGCTTATCTGGTGTATGACTCATGAATTTACTCATTTCACTATGAGGGTTAGCAAGTGAAATTAGGAAGATTACCCAGCCATTAAAAAAATTCCACCAAAATAAGATACTCATGTCATATCAAGAATAATTTAATTTCTTGTATTTGGTATTGTTCATCTGTTTGTTTCCCCTGCACTGATGTCCTGCTTCTATCTGCAGATGTGTGTATGCATAGCTCAATTTAACCACACGTTGCAGGGCTTAACATTATAGCATTTATACTTCACTTTAAAATTCCACAGAGAGGTTTTAGCTAATATGCAAGTAGCCGAGTTTTCTGTCCATAGTGGGCACAGTGTGTTAGGATGCTAGAGAACATGAGACTAAGAGTTCTGAATCACAGCTCACTCTTGGGTCTCAGCTTCATCTATGAAAGAGTGGGATTCAATTACAGATGGCTGATGTCTCTTCCAGTCCTAAAGTGTCAGTAATGCAGATGATTAACACTGTCTGACTACTGTAGCAAAGCAAATTATTTTGTGACAAACAACTTTCACAGTTGAAAATGGCAGCCATGGTATTCATGTACCATCTCTATGGTTGGAAAACCATATGCTAACCCTAAGCCCATAGACCAGAGGTTTCTGGCATTGGACGTGAATGCCATTCCATATCCCCATGAACCGGTAAGGAGCTGCAGTTTTACAACTCAGCCCAAGCAGACCCTGGTGTGACAGGACTAGATTCAGCCTCCTAAACAGATGCCAAGGCTTTGTGGAAACAACCTCTCTTCTCACGAAAGGAGGTTAGAACCCCTCCTGGTGAAAGACATGTTTAACGATTGCGTTCTACAGATATTTACTGAGCATGTCCTAACTGCACAATGATAGTGTTAGCTTCTAGAGCACTGGGAATATTCCTGTCCACCCTCCCACCTTCAAGGATGAACTCCTTACCAGATTCTCTTCTTATTGTGATAACCCCAGGTGACACCTTGCATAGTACCTGGCTCAGAGTAGGCATTACAAATGGATTTGAACCAGCCGGGGACAGTCCATATGCTCAGCAGAGTTCCCAACCCAGTGATGTAAGAGAACCTTGGTTGTTTTAAAAAAAAATTCATTTTTTACAGGGTTTTTTTGATACATGTATTTATTATGCTGTAAAAAGCAACACTACCTGATTTCATTTAAAATAAATATTTCCCAATTTCAGAATACTTACAATTTATAGTTTCAAGATTAGATTCACTTTGGGAGGTTCTGGAAGCAAATACATTCATAGCTGTACAGTCCCCAGGAAGAATCTATATCCAACCTCAGGTCATTCAGCCCCTGCCAGACAGATAACAGCATCAAACGGCTGATAGCTAATCCAGCTGTGCAGCTAAAGGGCAGTGTGGGGCAGTAGCGGGATACAGCACATTACGCCCAAAAATGAGGTCATTAGAATTGAGACTACCAAAACAACAGTGTATAAGCAGCTTTAAATAAACATGACCATATAGAGAGCTCTCATGATACAGAAAAAGCACGTATGATCCCAAAGCCAAAACAAAGAGATCTTTGGAGTATACTGATGGCAGCAGTTAAGAGCACAGTCAAAAGCATTTAAACCAAGTGTACTTGTTATTACCAGCCAACAGCAAACAGCCAGAGCAGGACCCGGCATTACAGTCATAAATAAATAACCTTATGGGTAAATAAGGGCACATTTGACTAAACCACACAGATTTTGCAAAATAGTTTTGATCTGAAAAAAAGATGAAAACTCTCTGTTCCAAATTAATGGTTAGAACCTCTTTTTATTAAAGCCTCCAAATTGCTGGTAACCTTTAAGCCACACAATTGAATCATCTTAATGTTTCATTTTAATCACACAAAGCAAGCTGCTGTTTGAGCAAAGTTATTTCAGTTGATTTCAGTTAAAGAATGTCTATCCCATAGTACCTCTGGGGATAATGCCGTTCCTCTACAGCATTTTGCAAATACTGCCTGTCTGCATGGCTTGGTAGACCCATGGGGCGGGAACCCAGCAGCAGGGCCGATGCCCGTCCACCAAATCCCCCACAGCACACCCGTGGGAATGGCTTCGTGCCTGATGCAGCTGTTAGGGAACACTGGCCACGCTTCCACCAAAGGAGGTGCTGTGTAGGTATTAGGAGGGCAATGGCTGAAGCCACCAAATGAGACTGGAAGCAAAACCCAAAACATTTGGAGGCTGCTGGAGCGGAAAAGGGGCCATTAGGCATGATAAAGGTTGGAAGCAGCAGTGTGTGCGGATACAAAAGGAAAAAAAAGGAACTTGCTGAATTTGCCACATTGCAACAACTAGTAGCATTCACGTAGCTGAGGATTTTGCTCATTTCACAAAACACGGCCTCAGAGAAGTCCATTTGTGTGTGTATGTGCCTGTGTGTGTGCTTAATATCAAAAATCCTCATTAGCAAACCCCTTTACCTCTGAAGTACGATAGGCTAAAGCATATGTGCGGTTTTTCCCTAGGACAAACAACGGGTCTCAATTTAAAATTAAATGGCCTTTTCTTATTATCAGTCCACCAAAAATTACACAATAGAGAAGCAGGAGAAAACTGGAGTGATCTAGGGGTCCCCCAAATAGGTGCAGGCTTTTAATGACAGGTTTAAAAAATAAATGTTAACTGTTACAGTTCCCATACCATCCTAATAACTTTGGTAGCTTAGAGCGCTTATCTGAATGTATCTTTATCCTGAAAGCTGAAACAGACCTTAAAGAGCCGTGGTAGCACATGCTTTCCTTTTCCAAATTTGGCTAATTTGTACTTAGCTTAGTCATCCGTGTCTGGTTCATCGCCTATTGACAAATGGCATAGTTCTAGCTCGGATGCCAGATGTCTGAGGCATTTTCTGACTTACGGTGGAAAACATGAAAACTGCATAGTGTGCCAGCACCCACGTTCCCAGCTAAAGCGAAGAGGCAAATAGCTAGATGTCTGGGAAGGGAGGCTGGACTAAAGGGGATATAGAAAAAGGAATTTTTTTCAAAAGTATTATATAACTACATTCACATAGATATTTTGGTCACCAAACATATCTTGAACAGATTCCCTGATGAAGTCTAATCAGAATTGGTCTATGCCACTAACAAGTTGTTAACTATTTTAATTTTTAAAGAGTCACGTCATGAAGCTGGGTGATGGGAGACATTTAAAACACATAACCCTACGTGCAGATAGTTGTTCAGACGCTCTAACTCTACATTTGAAGTCCTGAAAATCACACTCTTTTGCTTCTAAAGGCAGCCTTGACCTATTTGGACAGACTGTACAACAAAACTTAATTTATAAATGCCTAAGTTCATCATACAAATTGAAAAATTCACAAAACACACATAAATATATCATGAAGACCACCACACAGTTAAGCTAGCATTGGTAACTATTTCTTTTACATCAAATTATACAATGCACGAGGTAAATATTGCTCACATTATGGAGGGAGATTGTTTTATTTCTATTTTTTCCCAAAGAGATCAGATTTGTCCTGTGTGTACAGTGAAGAAAACTCCAGTAACACTGAAATGACAAATGTTGTAAAATAGACATCACTACCAGATAGAAATACACATGTTCTTCATAATCATTTTCCACAATTAAATAGGTAAGTGATTTATATTTTGGGCTTAAGACCTTTATAACAATCCATCCAAATTCTTATGGACCGTTTGATTTTCTTTTCCGTTGTCGGAATCTCCTTGAGGCGTGTACTGCACTTGGTATTCCTGGAGGATCTTAAATACATCGTGGTGTCCGAAGTGCAACGCTTCATCCATGGGAGTGTTATTCCACCTAAATAAGTAGCAGAACGTGCACTGGGTCATTAGATAATTCCTGGACAAAGGTGATAATTCAGCATCCTTACATACTAAGTGCAGATCTAAGAGCCATTCAACTTTAGCCATTTTAGCAACATTACAAGTAAAAATTAATTGAAGAAAAACAGAAAGGGGCTCATCATTCAAAAAGTGGTCCTATGGGCAACTTGAGAAATGGGGAGGAAGAGAAAACGATCTTCTACAGATGGATCTTGTTTACATATCTAAGTGCTGTGGGAGGGGAAGTTCTCGTGTTGACAGATACAATAGACTCCTCTGGGATTCCTGGTTTTCAATTTCATAAAAAGCCCACAGGCTCTCCCTTTAAATAAAACCTTCAAGGAAAATTCAGGTATATAACATCCATCACCCTATCCTTTGATAGAAAATTTGTGTTCCTGACAATTCAAAAATCACGATAAATCTCAGAAGTCTGGAAAGAACTCTGACCTCATTAGGCCCCAAACATACACTGGAGGAGCAAGATCGGCCCCAGAGGAACTGACATTTTCATCATCTCTGGTAAGGATGGGCATCTGAGGGGCTCAAATGGACCACTACGCAACCAGAAAAATAACTACCCTTTCCACTATAAGTGTGTCTCTGGCGTGTGCTCTTCAGAGTGACAGAGATGAAGACTGAAGAGGAGAGAAAAGAAGGGTTGCCAGCAGCAATCAATCAGCTGATCAGCCTTTTGAGAGAGGAGATGATACTATGAAACTCGCAACCCAAGTAAATGAGAGTGCGAGAATCTGTCCCCTAATACTTCATAAACTATGAAGCCTCTCTCTCCACTTATGTCACTTGTCCATGGCTACCAGATGCTCTGACTCCATTTTTTCATGGTCTATTCTCATCAGCTTCTGGTTTTTCTTTTTTCTGTTTCTCCTTTCCTTTACGTCTCTGCCTTTAACCTTTTACCCCCATTTTTATGGGGTCACAATATGGAACTGAAAGGTTTTTTAAACAGTCTCAAAAAATATTCTTGGATAAAATTGGGTAATCTTCATTTTTTAAATCAGGTAAGTCATATTTTACATGTATCTGTATGTTTCTCAAAAAACAGCTCCTTTTCCATATTGGCCTTCATTAATTTAGGGAGTCCGTGGCCTTACATTGGGAGGTGGGGGACTTTCCAGTCATCTACAACATATAATTACCTGTCTTCCTGAGAAAATGGAACGTTAACTGCAAGTTATCTTTTTGACAACTCTTCTTCCATGAAATAATACAAATTGTCAACTTAAAGAACATCACTAAATTCACTCAAGCCTATTTTACAATTTGAGGTGACACAGATTCTACAAAATAGAGAAAGGAGTTGTCTTGGTTTGGCTTATATTCTAGAATAGCTGAATACCCAGTTACCAAGTTAGTTATTTAGCTAACTTCTCCCATCAGATGGGTACTTCTACTTCCACATTCCTAGAGGCCAATTTAAAGCAAAAACCAAAGCGTTTCATACAAAGCACATTCCTAGGGACGCCTGGGTGGCGCAGTCGGTTAAGCGTCCGACTTCAGCCAGGTCACGATCTCGCGGTCCGTGAGTTCGAGCCCCACGTCGGGCTCTGGGCTGATGGCTCAGAGCCTGGAGCCTGTTTCCGATTCTGTGTCTCCCTCTCTCTCTGCCCTTCCCCCATTCATGCTCTGTCTCTCTCTGTCCCAAAAATAAATAAAAAACGTTGAAAAAAAATTAAAAAACAAAGCACATTCCTAGAGGCCAATTTAAGGCAAAAAAAAAAAACAAAACAAAAAAAAACCCCAAAAGCAAAACGTCTTAATCTTTATAAAGCACAGTAAATGTTTCCATTCTGTGTTAAATAGTGTTTTAGTTGGGATTATAAACACAGGGCACAAGTTTGGGTAAGGGAAACACACTCTTCAACTTCTTGCTCTAGAAAGAGCTGGTATTACATTTGGGGATAAAAGGGAGGATTGCCCCCCCTGACATGAGGTTTTAGAACATTGCCAACAAAGGTCTTGATTAGATAACCCAAGTGTTACTATACTTAGAAAACTGCTAACAATTTTCAGACACATCCTAACTCTTCTGCATTTCTTGCAACCAGCTTGAATAAAACCCAAACTTCTAATTTAAAAAATAGTAAAGATCTAACAGCTAGAGTATAATCAGCTTGCTCCAGACTTACTAATACAACCCTCAGATATCCAATCAAAACTCCTAATCATACCTAACAAACCTCTCTATCAAGTATTTTTTCCTTCAATTCTTCTAAACCTATATTCTCATTACTGGCTCATCCAGCTACATAACATGCAAGTATATGAGCACAGAGTTGAAGTATATATGTATACACACACATGTATATATACATACGTATATATATATACATACGTATATATATATATATATACACGCATGTATATATATATATATACGTATGTATATATACATATGTGTATATATATACGTGTATATGTACATATACACGTACGTGTATATATATACATATATACGTATGTATATATATACATATATAAGCTGCACTCTCAAGCCTCCATCACTGTCCGTGTTGTGGACAGCATTTACTTCAAGATAAATGGAAGTTTGCCATGTGGATCAGGAGAGAGAGGAGAGGAGCAAAATGTATTCCAGGCAGATCTCTCCCACTGAAGACGGCGTGCCCTTCTCTTCTTTCCATGCCTTCAAATCGCATCTCTTCCCCAAAGCACCGATTAAAATTCAACTCCACATAGCCTTTTAAAACTGACACCAAACAAATCTAGGAATTTCAAGAAACCCCAATATATTCATTTTAGCATTCTGTGACAGTAGTTTTCTTGCACATTTTTAATATGTTCCTGTAAATGTTCATCTTGTCTACCCTGTGTAGTTAGAAGCCCCACAAGGACAAAATTCCTATTTTCTCTTTCCAAACATAAAGTATTGTTTTCTTCATACAGTGTACTGACAGACTAATCTGAAAAATTCTAAATAAGAGACTATCCTTATATGAGAAATAGGATACGGAGGGAGAATGATCACCCTAGCAGAAACAAGGTTTTGTTTGTTGCCTTTGTAAGGCACCATTGCGAGTTCAAGAATGTCTCCAATATATACATGGTAATTTAATAAGAACACCTTCACTCATATGTTATAGCCCTGGATTGTAATAAAACACTGACTTGCCATTTATAAGTTAGAAGGGGACGACATATGTTCTCACCTGTCCTTGGGGAAAGGATTTACTTTGCATGCCTCCAGCAAAAATTTAACAACTTCAACATGACCTACAAAACAAAACAAGTAGATTTTAGTATTGAGTAGAAACTACATCGGGAAAAAAAGATGAATGGTTCATAGATTACCCTCTGCAGCAGCTACATGCAGTGCTGTTCTAGAGTCATAGTCTCGCTGTTCCATGTCCATGGCTGATAGAGCAAATCTGAAAATGTGTAAGAACGGCTATTCGTTACATATAAAATTTAATTCACATCTGTAACATTTACCCCATCAGTTCCATCTAAGGTCTTGTGTCACAGATGCTGTCCTCTATCAGGCTCACTGATGGGGATGTGAGGGCCTCTGGGGCAAATGCCACTTCCTCTCTTTTTGGATACAGGGAAATGTTCTTTTCTCACAGAATTCAGCTTCATTACATTATTGTTCAAAGAACAGTGGCATACTAAAGTTTGTGCCGCAGAAGGGCAAGAAACGAACACCTATTACTGAAGTTAAATGCTTTCACTATTTAAACATTTTACACTATAGTTTACAAGTACTAATCAGACTTCGATTTAATTTTTAAAGTACACTTTTTTAGAAACAATTGACATAGAACATTATGTAAGTTTGAGGTACGACGTGTTGGGTTTGATACATTTATATACTGCAATATGATTACCACAGTAGTGTTAGCTAACCCTCCCTACAACATCACATAATTTTTTTTGTGTGTGGTGAGAACACTTAAGATGTATTCTCTTAGCAACTCTGAAGTTTGTAATAAAGTACTGTTGATAGACGTATAATATGACTTTTAGACAAAGGTAGAAAATAAGCACAGATATTTTTCCATGTTAAAATTCAGTTGCAACTCTATACAAGAGATCTTATGTAAAGTACACAGTCCTATGCAACCTTTCTAACCCCGGTGATCCGCAGAGCACTAAATGCCCCTATCTTCACTCCCCCTTCACCTCCAAAGATGGGAAAGGGAAGGTAAATGGGGACTGAGACAGCATTATTCAACTCCATTGAAACACTACATTAATTAGCCAGATTTGTTGAACAGTCTCCACTTGGGAGAAAAGAGGTCTGGGCTCTTCAGGAGGTAGAAAAGGACAAGACTACACAGGAAGTCTAAGCCACTGGAGATGGGGATTTAACATAAATTTGTTCGGGTCATTTTCCTTAGAGAGAAATGGAAATGAGACTTTGGCCTTAAAATGGCCATTTGCCCAGAAGCAACTTTATAAACCTCTGTAAACCGGACGCTAAGCCATATGCCACCATGTTAACATACCTTCGAAGTGCAGATACATCTCCAGTATACGCAGCGAACAAAAGGTTTATCACTGACTTCACCTGTGAAGAAAAGAAAGTTCAGGCATCCACAGGGGAAAATAAACATATAGAATGTATTCCTGTCACCAGTAAGTGACTTCCATGTGCTCTGAACACTTCAGCTGGGTCACACGCAGTTATCATAAGTACACATGTATAGCCAAACAGAATACCCATGTATGATTTTTTTTTTATTGAAATAGAGGATTAGGAGAGAAAACTCATCAATAAAGATAAGCTATGTGAAGGAAGGAACGGAATGATATTGACACAGACGTGGGAACTTGGACCCTGTGAAACACACACAGGGCAAATGAAAACTATTCAGAACGTTTCTAATTTGGTTTGTCTCAGTATTTTGAGTGGACTTGTATACTCGTAAGATTCACATCACATCTTTGTTAGAAACTAAATCACGCAATATAAACACCCAATCCCTGCCAGCAATCACTGTCCTCACCAATCACCAATCACTGTCTTCTTTGGAAATCTTATGCGACAACATTCAGTATTAATCACCTTAAACTCACGGACTATACTACACTGGAAAAACAGTCGTCCGTCCCAGGTAGTATAATGCCCAGGTAGTATAAACTGGGGGCATTCTCAGAGCCTAGGACACTGCCTCTCCTCAAAAAGTGGGTAAACTCCCCCGATTTTAAGTCACTGCTAGTGAGTGCTCCAAGACTTCAAAGTATATCTTTTGACAGCTATCCACTTGTTTGTCCTTAAAGTTAAGGAAAAGGCTAGATATCCTAAAAGGTCCTTAGATTTTGGTTTGCTTTCATAGAGACTTTATCCAAACCTGTTTTTGAGAAACTATTGAATAACGCATGTAAATACTTCATGAATTCCGACTTTTGTCTTTTGCAACTTCCAACGGACACTGGACTCAGTGGTAGAAAACAGGAGTTTAAATGGAAGGATAGATAGTAACCCAGCTATCCACCAACAAAGCCACAGGCCTAGGAGCTGTGCTTTCAATAGCTTAACCTGGACATTCCCCCTTTCCACAACGGCTTCCCTTTCCCCAGGGCTTTCCTTTTAAATCAATCTGGAACTAACCATCGCTGGACCTCTCTAGGTCAGCATGTTCACAATGCGCTCTGTAGAAATTGTCCACAAATGCTCCATTAAAACAAGGGCGGGGGAGGGTCCTGTAGTCAGGTATTTTCTTAAAAGATTAAAATCCCATTCTTAGAGATTCATGGGCATATGAAGTCTCTGTAAAGTTCTGCAGTACAGGAACCTAACTAGCTAAGCACACTCCCCAAATTTTACTATTATCGTTGACATTACTCCAGAAAACCTTACTCTAATTCCTTCAGTCCATTTGCTTCCCTTGCAGCCACCCTTCACTACTCCTGCCCAGCCTGCACTCTGTAGTTAATCTCCTGCTAATCCTAAATCCACAACACTTTTCTCACTGGAGGTGGAGGGGAAAGCTTAACAGAATCACACAGAATGTTCTAAAAATGCATATAAGCATCTCCCCTCCCATGTAATTGTCCTATTCCCACACCTCAATTTGATACATTTCAGGAAAAACAGCTTTTTGAAAAATGTCCCCAGGTAGTTTTGATAGGCACTCTTCTGGGTTACAAACCACGGTTCTAAGTGCCCTTAATTTTTTTCTTTTCTTTTCTCTTTACTTTTCTCTTTCTTTTCTTTCTTGCTTTCTTTCTTCCTTCCTTTTTTTCCTTTCTCTTTTCTCTTTTTTAAAATATGAAATTTATTGTCAAATTAGTTTCCATACAACATCTCTCTTTCTTTCTTTCTCTGAAATTCTCAATTCCCCTATGCTCTTGTGCCCACAGAAAAAATACTGATGAGCTATTAGAAATTATTCCTGTTTCCAGCTGGTCTCTCATCATTGCTTGACAATTTTTTTTCTTATTGATTCCCATCCCCACTTTCTTCAGGCCTTTAATACCAGTGGTGCCCCCTAAAACAGATGACCCTGACCACAGATTTACCAGGAGAACCAACTGTCCTCACTTCTCCTTCCTCTCTTATGCAAAACATCTGTTTCTGATACCCACTTTCCCTTCCTTCTCTCCAAACCTCAAAGCAAAACAGATCTATCCTTTCTCATTTCTGAGACTAACTTCTTTACCTATTCCTTTAAACATATATCCTCCAGATTCTGTAGCCTCGCTCCCTCATTTATCCTTTTTGTTTCTAGTACCTTCAACCTTTCCCTCCTTCACTGGTACCCTGATTTTTGCCTTAATACAGACACAACTTCAGCCTGTTTTGAAAAACCAACATATAACCCTACTGTTACCTCCTTTCAGTACGTATTTTCTGAAAGTAGTTTGTATTATTAATTCCCTGCCAATTGCCTCCACACCCACTATTACCTGTACTGTCAAAAGCTCCAGCGACCTTCTGAAGCCCTGCTTCTTGATGACCTCCCCAACAAGCCCTTGTCCTCTTACTCCTTGTCTTTACACAGTGTTGATTACCCAGATCTTCCTCTGGTTTGCTTTTATACAGTTATCTCCCACTTTCCACTACCGAATAATACGCCAAAGGCAGTCTCCATTTTTTTTTTTAAGTCTAATTTTCCTCAAAGGTCTCATACATTCCTTTTGCCAGAATGATTTCCCAATCTACGTCTTTAATCTAAATCTTTGCTCCTAAGCCTTAACTCAACAGCTCCACTTGCTTGTCACACAGCCATTTCAAACTCAGAAATAGCAAACCTCCCTACGGCTCTGATGGCTCCCCACCAAGAGTCCATCTCCATCTGCCCACTTGACATTGCCTCTAGGATGTTTAACAGGCATCTGAGACTTACACACAAAATAGAACTTGATTTCCACCCCCAATCCCAGTTAGCTCCTCTTCTGGTCTCCCTCATTTGGGGATGACACTACCAGTCACCCAGTTGCTCAGGCCAAAAGCTGAGTTAGCATGCTGCATTTGACCGCACAGGTTTCCCCTCCTCAAGGATGCCTGACCCAGGCGCCCAGCCTGAGCTCCTCTCACCGAGCTGTGGTGTCCAGCACCCAAGTACATCTGATGGGAGGAAGGGAGCCTTCTTCATACAAATGTGCTGAGAGGGTCTGCTTATGCAAAGGCAGAACTAATTCACACAAACCCACCATATAGACCCTGGCGATATTCCTTGAGTCTATTTCTCATAACCCACATCTAGTTCATCAACACATTTGCTCTACCTCCAAAATATACGTGGAAGGAAACAAAATATATATGGAATCCCATCACTTCTCACCACCTCCCTTATATCGCCCTTGGCTCTGAACCACCACCTTATCTCACCTGGAGGCCTGCCATAGCCTCCTAACTATTCATTCCCCTCGTCTGACTCTGCTGCTACAGGGATCTTTTGAGAACATAGATCATAATAGCACTCCCAGTGACTTCCCATCATACCTAAAAAAATTCAAACTCTTCCCATGGCTTTCAGGACACCAAATGCCCTACTCCCCAGTTACATTGTTCTTCTCATTCCCGATCACTCTGCCCTGTGCAGTTCTCCACCGGCCAGGCGGTCTCCTTGCTGGTCTGGGGGCTACCCTTGCTGTGCTGCTGGGGATGCCCCTTCCCCAGAGAGTGAGGAGGCTCCCGCCTTCATTTCATTTAGGTCTCTACTCAAATGTTACCTCAAAGATTCTAAAACACTGCCCTCTTTTTCATCATCCCTTATCCCTAACCTTGCTTTTCCTCTTCAGAGCACTTATCATTGACATTATCTATGTATCTATCTATATCTATACATATAATCAAATATATGTAATTATATATTTGACATTATATATCTGACTCTATATATATATGTGTATACACACACACACACACACACACACACACACACACACACAGACATATATATTTAAACTTGTTTGTTGTATCTTTCGCCCATTAAATGTAAGCTCCATGGGGGCAGAGACCTAATCTTTACCCCACTATACCCCAATGACTACAACACATAATTGGTGCTCATTAAATATGTGTTGACTCAAATCAACACACTGTACACCTTAGACTTCCACAACATTATACATCAATTACACTGCAATGAAAAGAATCCATTTACTGGCTAAATCAATATTCTCTCCCAAAACATCAAACATATTCAATTTGTTACCATCACTTGGGGGATTAAATTATAATCATTTTTAATTCTTCTGCCTTTTATCTCAAATATCATTACTAAATTTATTCAGTCCTCCTAACTGCTGCCTCTGCTTCTAGTTCTTCCACCTGCCAGAACTTTCCCACATATTTCTACCCATCTCAAAATACTGCTCTGATCAGTTAAAGGTTTCTCAGCAAGAGAGTGTCAAAAAGTTCCCAAATCAATCTTAATAAAGTTTAAATTCTTTAGCCTTGCATTCAAGAATCTTCACTCTGGCTAACTCATTTTTCTCTTTCCACCTCAACACAACAAAACTGGTCTTAGTACCACTCTTGTTTTTATGTCTATACTCCTTTTTTTCCTTTTGGGAACACCTAAGATTCCTAATCAAATCCTTCCCTTCCCTCAAGGGCCAGCTTGAAAGCCTTTGAAAGCCCCTTCTTTGCTACCACACTTCCCCAGGCATCTCATCCAGCATTCCATGTGACTTGTTGCCAGTTGCCTACATAGTGTTTGTGACGGCATATGCCAAGGAGTCATCAGATACCGTATCTTCCTCTACAACCCTTAATGTACCTTTCGCTCCTACTAAGCCACAGTACATACTTTTTATTGCCTGAAATCATCTTTTCTCCACCCATTTTTCATTACAGTGTTCATTCTTAGCTCCTCTTCCTGAGCCCTACCTCACAATCTCCGGTCAGAAATCATCTCTTTCTCCTACATTTGCCTCATTGCAGCACTATCACACATTATATATTTACTTATGTATGTTATCTCCTCTTTACTACTCAAGAGAAATCCAGAATTTTGACGTGCACACCACTGATATATTAACCACCCATAGTTCCTATTCTTTAAGGTATATTAGTCCTTCTGAGCAATATATCCCTGATGTTTATTCCAGTGATTG